CATTCTCAGTTACAATGCGTGGCCGATCTCATGAAATGTTGGCCGAAATTCTGAAATGCGTCTTCGATTAGGAAGGATTACTTAAGTGGGGTTTTAATACTGATTATCGTGCAGAAAAGTCCTATATTATTTCGGACTCTCCAAGATATCGGCTTTTGAATGCACTTATTTTCGACCGCATACAGAAACCACATTCGTTAAAAATTGCCACTTAAGTAGCATGCATTTTTCCTCATTTTCGACGGCCTTGCAAATTCAAACATATTTTATGGAAACCATGAACAAAAATATGCTTTCTTTCAGTCGTTTAATAGAGAATTACGTCAGCCTTAAATTTTATACTCGAAAAAGCGTACAATTAGATTTTAAAAAAGTTTTCTAATCCCCGAATACTTTGGAGCCTGATCAGTTGTTGCATTAGCGTTTAGCTATTTCAGTGAACAAGGTGTATACTTTCTGCGTAAGGAAAATCCCATATTCCTCCGTGCTTTTAAGAAGATACCGTCTAGAGTTCATAACATTTTGCAATGGACGCGGACCCTGTTGTACATTTCATAGGAAGCATCGCTAAACGGAAACGTTCGATGCTGTATGTACGGGCACCGTGCGGTCTTAAAAATCTCACAATTAGAAACTTTTTTAAAATCGAAAGATAACTTTTCCTAGGATATAAAATGAAAAGACAATGTAATTTTCTATCCAACGAATAAAATAAAGCATATTTTGGTGAATTTTTTCTATGAAGTATATTTGCATTTATATGACCACCGAGTCTCAGTGTGAAAAATGCATGCTACTCAGGTAGTCATTTTTAACGAGTGTGGTTTCCGCAGAAGGGCAAAAAAACTACATTTAAAAGCCGACATCGAGGCTAGTACGAAATAGTATAGGATTATTCTGCACGATAATTCATATTATAACCCCACCTATGTAATCCTCCCTAACTGAAAACGCATTTCAGAATCTGGGCCAATATTTCATGAGATCGGTCACGCACGTAGACTCTATTTAATCCTGTGGTGCGTCATTCGAGGTGAAACTGCGAGTCGGCATTGAAGGGCAGGACTGTTAAGCTCTACGCACATGCATTCTCAGTTACGCCTAGATATCGGCTAATGGCATTTCATTGTCTGCGAGGGCGTGTTACCACCTGACCCCCATGGCATGTGTTGGACTGCCTTAGTCAGGTGACAGGACGCGAGCACTTCTAGGCCTTGTTCTAGATTGCCGTTTTGACACAACAGGCAATCTGGCAGTTGGTTGAGAAGCACCAATGTCCCAGGCCCAGTGCAGAAGCTGGCAAGACAGAGTCAAGACGATTGGAGACTAATGTGAGTCCGGTATCTGTTGAGGATGAGGTGACGTCTGCGCCTACAACACACGAACTGGCCCCCCTGTCTCATATGAACAAGTCCCGAATGGGGGAGTCTTGGAGCTCACAAAAAGCGAAACTGCCATAAGGGTTGCACTGAGGAGAACCCATTGTAACTTGGATCGAATTTCTGCGAAAATTCCCATATTGCGTTTGAAGAGTCAGTTGGCGAACATATGTTTTCGGCAACTCATCATCATGCCGATACATTTACATGGGTACTGATCATTCTGATTGTAGACAGGATATAAATGCGTCTCAGGGGCAGGGTTAATCGCCCCTCCCTCCCACCCCAACTCCACCGTCCTCAACACCCTGACTCCGTCATGCAAGCGGCGTGGGAACATGGAGTCCGGTTAACCATGTCCCTGAGACGCATTTATATCTTGTCTACAATTAGAATGGTCATTACCCATGTAAATGTATCGGCATGATGATGAGTTGCCGAAAACATGTGTTCGCCAACTGCCTCTTCAAATATTCTAGTTCCGAAGTCAGTTTTCTAATTTACAAAGGAATTAATACGTTAACGTTCAGAAGTTGATATGAATATGCAGGTCGAATTCCATTCCGCCTCAGCGGGATAAGCGAGTGACATTTACATGCTGCCAACTGGTGGTCAGTAATATGCAAAAACTAGATAGTTCGCCATACTTATATGTGTGCAACAGACTACCGGCTAGCCGCTGATGAATATTACGCGCTTTTCCGCCGAAAATGGTGAATTCCAACTCAAATATTTACATCGACTTTTGGTCCTAAGCTGGAAGGCTTTTTCCGATGGATTTATCCCAAGTGAGGGCATTAATTCCTAAGAAAATAAAAAAGGTGGAATGCCTTAGAAAAAAACATCTCTTTAAAGCGCACTGCCGATTCGTGTTCCTCCATTCGACCACATCAATAAATTGATTCATTCTTATGTAAGGCGTTAATAGTTTATCGGGAGTTATAGTAAAATTTGACCATTGCTATACAATTTTCACAAATCAGAATTTATTACTAACAGATAGAAGATCATGGTCATATTTCGTTTGTTTAACGTCGTTAGTAAGTCAAAACGAAAGCAATACTGGTATTAATCCACGTTTAAGTTCGTGTTATTAGTTCACCAAACCGACCATGCCGCCCGCATGACGGAGTCAGCGTGCTGAGAACGGTGGATTTGGGGTGAGAGGGATGGGCGAAGGAGAGTGGTTCCGGTTAGATTGCAAGCGCTGTGAGTGTGTGTGACTGCTCTCAGGGCGTCGGAACGGCGTGCGATCACCTTCTGGAGCCGGCCAGGGCAGACAGACTGCTAGTGTCAGCGTCTTCTGACAACAGAGTGCTGGGCTCGCTAGTCGAATAGTCAACGCTTCGGCTGTGGCTAGCACCCGTTTGCGCAGGCCTTTAGAGTAGTGTGCCGGTGCCCGGTTGATAACTTTAAAGGCTTCTTTATCGTCGGCTTGGTGGTTCGTATCGATTAGATTTGCGAGAAGTGAACTCGAAATCGATCGATTTTCACCTCTACCTGCCCAGGCAGGCATGTGTTCGCCTTTCCAGACGGATCGAAAACGACTGTTAGCACATCGAGATGGGTTTGAAGCGCGTTCCACTGTTTGCTGTGAGGAAACTAAAGGCTGGACTTGTTCTGAACTCTTGCCCTCTCTGTCCGCCCCTATGCGCCGGTTACCTCTCCCCCCGTCAAGCCAACTCCGTCGGCGATTGAGTTTACTGACTGACATGGCTTGTAGCATCATTTACGGCGTCCCACAACAGCAGGGCCTCTGAAGACTAAATAACCCTTTTGTTTTTAAAGTTGCGAAAATTCCCATAGAGCAATTCATAAGACCGTTTGGCGAGCATACGCGTGCTTTCGG